TATGTCAATTACGCTAATGAATTAATCATGCAAATATAACCTCTGCTCGGTTGTTGTAAGTGAACGTAAGTTATTAACTTGGGGGGGGGGAGGAGCTTTGACCCATACGGAAAGGTGACTGGTAACGCATCAGCAGAACAACCTTCTCTTTGTCAGGCCCTGTCACAGTCTGTTTTAGTGGGTTTCACTCTGTATGCAACCAACAGTTTTAGTGTTTTGCACCCGTCAGTTTCTAAATCGAAACACTTTACAAACCAATTATTTGTTTACGTATTTCATTGGACAATTTCATTCAATTTGAAAACTCGTATTTACTTACAAATCAGTACTGAAGCTTAGTCAGTACAGGGGCTAGGTTAGGAAATGGACGGCAGAAATATCGTGTTTCGATTCCCGCCGGGGGCAAAAAGATTTTACTGTTCTCCACAGTATCTAGACCTGCTCTGGGGCCCACCCAGCCTCCTACTCCAATAGTTATAAGGGGTTACTTCCAGGAGGGGGGGGGTAGAGGGGACGGGTAGTGAAGCGGCCCATACAAAGCCATCTGCTGTCAAATTAAGAATGCACACAGCCTCTACACGTTCACATGTTAAAAATTAGGCAACATGTTCCAGAAGACAATATAAATGTTATTTTCAAAAATTTTAGTGAAAAATGTGGTCAGCTATACATCAACTGATTCATATGAAACCAAACAATCGGACAGGTTGGTCTAGCAGTAACGTTTTAAAGTACCATTAAGGAGATGCTTCTTTCGAAACTCGGCAGGATACCGGTTGTCCTGCCGGTCCTGCCTGCGATTTTCCGTGGCCAGCAAATGCCGAGATATTACCTCAATTACACCACGACCTCTTTCATCCAAATCCTTTTCAATTCCTCTGCCATCCTATCATACGACATTATACAGTCTACATACCGAAAAATGTAGTGAAATAACCCACTGAAAATCCTATACAGGGTGATTCACGAAATTTTACCCCGGCTTGTAGTACATGTTCCTGGGATTATTTCCTGCAAAATTTCCTTATAAATTTTGGTCGATTTTCAGTAGTTACGGAGTAACAATAGATTTTCGAAACGCATCATTGTGAATGCAGCGCTATGCTTCAGAGTGGGCTACCATACGTTCTAGTCAGCTATGTCAGCAGATAAGGTAGACCGGTTTGAATGTTGCGCGTAGGTAGATAGGCAGAGCGGTTCATACGCGTGCGACGCAATGTGTTGACGTTCAGGGAGACATTTTTGAAAATCTTTGTAAATCCAGTCGTCTTCTAAAGCACTGCAGTTTAAAGGAAACAGATTGATAGAAGGGTGTGATATGCAACCATTGGTATGTTTACAGAATGGGATGCTGAAAATAATGTAATTTTATAACACAAAATCGATGAAAAATGTTGCACAATGCAAAATTAAGAAATTGAAAAGAAATAGTTGGTTTTAGAATGCTTCTTTCCTAAAACATTAACGATTTAAAAAGTGTTTGTATTGTATTTCTAATTTGTTTTGACTGAAATTCAAAGAAAAAAAGATTTTTCGCCAGTTTTCAAATTACTGTATCTCTTTAATTATGAGTTGGATACCACTAGTATATTAACATTTTTTGTTCCAAATTACCTCAGGAATGCCCTCCCTAAGTGAGGGTAAAACTTCGTGAATCACCCTGTATACTATCTTGATTAATACACAAACTTAAGACCTTTCAAGTCTTAGGTTACAGACCTTTGGTCAGGAGTATCCTAGTTCTGGAACAAGCGGCGGGTAGTATATTCATGTTGGTAAATAAATTCAGTGAAATCAGACAGACTCCATAGGAATGGAAGAAATCCTTCTGAGCAAAAGTAGTGGCAAATTCTCTGGGAGAAGCATCACTACAAGCAGCACAAAAGGACTGAAGATCACCAGCAATGTCGTGTAAAACAGAAGATGCCATACTGAGGTAGAAACAGCCGTGAAGATCACAAGTGTCATGACAGTAGTCTAGCGAATCCGCCACTACCACTGCTAGACACGCTTAATCCTGAAAACAAACAACAAGCTTATATTAACGAAATTTTATTACCAAATTGCTAGATTTATATGCGTTATTTCAATAAATTACATGCAATAAACAATCTGACAAGCAGGTTGGCAAAGCAACAGGCCGTGTGGCTCTTTTCAGGAGATAACCGAATCGAATTCCGGACAGAGACCAAATAATTTAATTTAGGTCTTTATTAAGGCGCGTCAACTTTACTCGTGCTCGTGCTAGCCAGGCTTGTGCTCGTCGGGAAACTCGTCTGGCTTTTACTTGTGCTCGTAAATCTTCGTCCACACTACTTCACTTGCTCGCCAGCTTTCGTCGCGTGAGTATCCGTGTATTTACTCGTAGTGTGTATAGGCTGTAGTCGTATTTTAATTTATTGGCTATAGTTTTTAAATTTAAAATTTAAAATCTGCTTGTCTCGTGACTTGTCATATCGTTCACATTACTCGCAAGCATAGCGAGTCACACGAGCACGAGTAATGTGGAAGCGCCTTTAGAATCCTTTTGTCTCCGCATGCAAATACCAGCATAGAATATAGAACATGTCATGGTCTAGTCCCTGTATCATCCTCCAGGTTCAGTAATCACCCCATTATCTCATCCGGCACTCAATAACATACACCTTCCTTGCTTCTTACAACTGCGCGACTTTTGGGGAGTTATTTCCCACATAAATTCTGCCCCAATTTAACATACACTTGACCATAGTTATAATTCGGTTTCAAGGGACAGATTCAGTACGCGCGTTAAGTATGAAACCGACATTTGGCCATTTTGCAATAACTGATATTATATATGATTTGAGGTTTTCACGGCGGTGACTATGAACAAAGCAGTCTTCTGGGATGTGGCACCGTGTAGATGTGGTGTTAACCGACGTTTTGGAGGAACGTATCGCCTCCATCTTCAGGGTAGAAGGAAAAATAAGAAATCCACAAGCGAAGAGACCGGGAGAACCGGTAAAAGCAGTCTTCTACCCTGAAGATGGATGCGATACGTACCTCCGAAACGTCGGTTAACACCACATCTACACGGTGCCACATCCCAGAAGACTGCTTTCTTCAACTGATATTATGTACGTGTATTTATGGAGTGATTAAACCACATGACATTTAAGGTACACTTCAGACTTACGTCAGACAGACTAGCGAATTACTTAAATTTATGCCTCCTTACGATGATGGTTACGTAACATACTCGTAAGTTCGTCGGAACAAATGACTGAGTTTTTTCTTTCAGAACGGGTTTCTTTATACTGTAGGATCTTATAATTTTATAAAAATATTTCATAGAAATCTGTGCGACGTAAAACATATTTAATCTTATTGGGGGGACATTACTAGAATAAGAGAACCGAAATTAACGGTCGTGGGGATCCGCTGCGCTGACCACGCGACACCCTCTATCTGCTATAGTTGGCACTAACTTCGCTGACAAGCGGCGGTCGCTCGGTCGGTATAGTTCGCTTGTGGACTAAAACCAGGGAGTTTGTTTTTGTTTGAGGGGACATGATGATCACCGCGGTATAACGAGACATTTTGAGGATCCATTATTGAGGGAATTGTCTTATATCCAAAATGTATTTACCCTGTCATATTAATTGGAAATTTACTTTAAACTTTGAAATTCTACGAGAATTTCGTGGAACAAAATATCTTACTTTTACAGGGAAATGCTCCTGTAAGAGCATGGAATTCGGCGGAAGAATAAAGATCTCCTCCTGTCCAGTCTGCTTCGTGGCTGAGTCGCCCAAAAAACTCGCTGGGGTATTGAGATTTGCTTCAAAATATTTAAAAATTATTGCAGTTTCTTGAAAGAAATTACATGGGCCCACTATTCGTATATTTGAACTATACATATACACGTAGTGATTACTAACGTACGGGGTATCTAAACAAAAGTTGTGCTGATGGAAATAAATGCAAATGAAGTTACTGTCTTCTGAGGAATTGTGCCTGGTGGTCTGATTGATCGTTATCTACGCCTCGGAGGAACGCAGTGCTTCGATATTAAGGATATTCTACCCTGAATTTGAAGGACAGCCGTAACGATCTTACTTATGGAGCTGAGCCCTTCTTGAGGAGCCGCCAATTCTGCAGATACTCCAGAATTTCCCAGAATTTTATGGAACCCGAAGGTTCATTACCGTGTTCACAAGAATCCTCGACGAGTCCCTATCCTGAGCCAGATCAATACAATCCATACCATCCCTTCCTATCTCTCTAAGATCCATTTTAATATTGTTCACCCACCTAAACCTTGGTCTTCCCAATGGTCTCTATATGCATTCCTCGTCTCCGCTATTTGTGCTACATGCCGTGCCCACCTCATCCTCCTCGACTTGATCATTCTAATTATATTTGGAGAAGAGTACAAGTTATGAAGCTCCTCATTATGCAGTTTTCTCCAACCTCCTGTCACTTCATCTCTCTTTCCGTTCTCGGCCTTTTGGCTAAGATCAAAGTGTAGTACCGTAACGATCTACCAGACTGTAAGGAATCAATCGCTGAAGAGTATATTCTTCCGGGGATGGTTATTTTATGAATATTCCGTAGTCCACCGCCGATATCACCGAGCAAGGGACCTGAAGGTTGATGAACCGTGCTCTGTGTGCTTGAAAGAGTAACAGTCCTATACTATCGCTGATGTGGGTGCTGACCTGATAACTTGTCATGTCCCTCACTGGCGACCTACATGTGACCCGGATAAAAACCCGCATCTTCTGAGTTAAATTAGTATTTTTTTGGCTGTACTCACAAAGACAAATGATGTCTGGAGGGTGGGCTGCAGCTTTGAGAGTCTGGCCCCCCATACACTAGTATCCACTACACATTCCTGCATTATTCCCAATGCATCCCCCAAAACACCAAAAGCGTTCTCACGTCCGTTATCAGTAATTCAAGTTGAAACAATCTGTAGTACTTATTTTATTTTACGCCCCCCCCCCCGCCGAAGTATCTCGTCCCTTATTTACTTACGTAACTTACTGATGGAGCTGAGCCCTTCTGGAAGAACCGCCAATTCTGCAGCTACTCAAGAATTTACCAGCATTTTATGGAACCCAAGGTTCATTATCGTTTTCACAAGAGCTCTCCACTGATCCCTATCCTGAGCCAGATCAATCCAATCCATACCATCCCATCCTATCTCTCTAAGATCCATTTTAATATTATCCACCCACATACGCCTTCGTATTCCCAGTGGTCTCATTCCCTCTGGCTTTTCCACCAATATTCTACATGCATTCCTCTTCTCCCCCATTCATGCTACATGCCCTGCCCACGTCATCCTCCCTACATATATTACTTGTGTAATTTCTGTTTTCAGAATAATGGCTCTGAAATATTCATAGAACATGGGATATCTCTTCTTTGAACATAAGTACCTATTCATGTTTACTGATTATTGTCTTATTACCGACGGTTTTCGGCTTCCTAAATTATCTAGCGTCGACTGATATGATGAATGTCTGCTTTTAGTTGTAGATTATGCAGAATGAAGCGATCATAGTCTATTTTAAATGTACTATCGTGGAAATTCGCGTAAGTTTTTGAGCCGAGATTCGAACCCAGAAACTCACGTATACAATGCAACAGTAGGCCAACTTTCATTTGGTAGTTATACAGCTGATCAACAATGGTTCATCGCTTTGATCACAAAAGTGTATTATCGAATCCTATCCTAAAACAGCTTAATCCGTTACATATTTCCGAGATCCATTTCTGTGCACTCTACTTAAATTTGTTTTCACCTACGAATTCGGCCTCGCGTGCCAAAATCGAAATTACGATCCAGTAGGCTTGCTCGTAGCGACATGCACCGGCTCAGCTCTGGGTACACAATCCAAAGATTGTCGAACAGTTCCCTACACTGGAACTCTCTTACAACGAAATATTTCCATAATGATAAAAAATTAATACTGTCATTTGTGTGTGATTATAGACGGAGTTTCGATCGGTAATTGGATTTATTGAACTTTTACAGAATGTAGCTACAAATAACTACGACAGTCTCACTGAGTCTCACACTCGGAAGATCACTGTAACTATAGCACACATAACGTCTTGTGAGTTTGCTATGTCTTCAGCAGACGTTGCGAGGTAACGGATCTCAGCAATGTCCTCTGCTTCCGTTCTCACGTCCTCGCTGAATGGCGGCTGGTTCGCAAGTACGTCCGACTCTTCTAACTACCGCCTCAAGTGTCAAGACGCTGCTCTAGAGTCAGAGACAGTTCGTCTTGGCGTCAAGTCCCTTGAGACTCACGATCAGAGATTTTGTCATCTTAATCCTTGCGGTCATAATCCTTATGTAATCCACATTACTCGTCCTCGTGCTCGTGTGACTCGCTATGCTCGCGAGTAATGTGGACGATATGACAAGTCACGAGACAAGCAAATTTTAAATTTTTAATTTAAAAACTATAGCCAATAAATTAAAATACGACTACAGCCTATACACACTACGAGTAAATATACTGATCCTCACGCGCCGAAGCCTGGCAAGCAACTTAAGTAGTGTGGACGAAGATTTACGAGCACAAGTAAAAGCCAGACGAGTCTCCCGACGAGCACAAGCCTGGCGAGCACGAGTAATGTGGAGGTGCCTTAATGAATATGCTTGGCCTTTCTTCAAATGTACGAATCGCATATATAGCATGTTATTGAAAATTCTTCCTTTTACCCTCTGTCAGTATAAGCTTTGCAAAGCAGATCATACCTATCCTACGCATCTTATGCTACAACGGCAGCTTAGTTACTTGAACGGTCGTAATTTTCACCATCGCGAAGTTTATGCTTATCTTATTGTCTGTCTTCTTTCGCCTTGTCCTATACTGCGAACATGTTCATTCTCATGATTTTGCATGACTTCTGCTTGTTGCTTGCACAATTTCGTTTTATAATCTTATACATATGGAAGGTTGAAAGCTGTATGTAAATAGCGGAACGATCGTTACCTCGGAACCTTGTTTTGTAGACGCTGTAATATTAAGAGGT